ATGTCTCTTAAATTTACGCGATCTTTAATCTAAACTTGTATGATATATGACGCTCCATTTATGTGCATCATAGTAACGGAAATTTACACTACTTTTTTTAGCTGTGTGCTGTAAACTAGTGTTAGTAATGCATAAAGCAAATCAACCTCAATAAGTTAGCTGAACAAAAAACTGAACAAGACTTACTTAACACTCCTCTACAAATCAGCAATTCGCTATACATAATTTAATAGCGTGATAGAAGAAAAAAGGAATCTATTGCACACTATTGTTAAATGTCGTCAGTTTAACTCGTTGTATTTCCGGCATTTTAATTCTTTTAAATTCAAAGCCTATCCCTCTAATCCCAAGGAAAGGGAGCTCCAGTTAGAAGTGGACTGCGACTACGGCGAATACTTCCATGATTAAAAAAATAAAACTAGAAGGCTGAAAAAGGGTTGAAAAAATACTGTTATTTAATGCCTTAAAAAGCTTAAAAAATAGTATTACTGTTAAGCTTTCGATTGATTAAAATCACCAGATTTTGATTTTAAAAGCTGATCAAAGGTTAACGTGATCAATGTACAACAATTATTCAAACTATGGCTGAAATACAATCGTTGGAAGAAAAATCTACCAGGAAAATAATCTTGATTCTATCATTTTAATAAGTTTAAAAAGAACTTCAAATAGGTAATAATGTTAATCATCGGCTTGACTATCATTACCTTCAAACTAAAACATTCAAAATTTGCTGCAAGATGAACAAAATTTACTTTGGATTCGGTTGCTGGATTCGGCGACGATAACTACGTGCTTCGCAGAATCGCAGAATCAAGCGAAAATTTACAGCTGGGTATTTTTTTTTCCTTTGTTCGGGACCTAACACTACTGCGACCAGTAAATTGATCTATTGTAGTATATCCCGTGTCCTTAGTTTAGTGCATGTCGTATTACTCCATCACTATTGAGAAATGATGAAGTATTCGATTTTTTTTACAGTTGTCACTCTTGCATTTATCGCAAGGATCCGACTCTAATTGAAAGGTCCCGCTATTTATACCCTTCGGAGTGTTGAAACACCCTCCAAAGGCGCGCCCCTTTGTCAATCAAAATTGGATTCCTTAGCAACAAAATTAAGGTATGACACCGATAATGACCATGCATCAGAACCCTAGTCTTAACCACTTCAAACTAGGGAACAACGAATAGAAGATAAGGAATCACATAGATGAAGACAACTAACTCATTTTTTCCTTCTTTCAAGATCATCCTCGGTAGACAAAGCCGAGTCTTGTCACTACCAACAAGGCATAAAAAGTAACAAGGACTAAGATGTGTTCCTTGGATTACTGAAAAATCCTGTTCCCCTAGTCAGGAACTAGGGAACAACGAATAGAAGATTAGGAATCACATAGATGAAGACAACTAAACATTTTTTTTTCCTTGTTTAAAGATCATCCTCGGTAGACAAAGCCGAGTCTTGTCACTTTCAACAAGGCATAAAAAGTAATAAGGACTAAGATGTGTTCCTTGGATTACTGAAAAATCCTGTTCCTCTAGTTTGAAGTAGTCAGGACTAGGAATCGGTGGTAGATCTTACATCTTACAGCTGGGTATACCGTGTATAATTTCTGAGTCCTTTCCAATTCGCTTAGTAGAGTTGAAATGGGGATGAATCTAAGTCAAAAACTATGTTTCGCTGATTGTATAGCTTCAATCAGACCTTCAGTTCAGCCCTTAATATATAATGTTCGACTTTGCACTCGGCGAGAACTTTTTTCATATTATTTCAGTGTCTCGCCTGATTCGTTCTTCTGCTGTCAATTCTGAGTATATGTGCAATAAGCTTTTTGGTAGAATTAACACTTTTTCAACTAGTTATTTAGCTGTTGTTTTTTTTTGTTGTTTATTAATTTATTTGATAAGGCTCAACCGAATTAACTTTACAGAGCCGAGGATTCTTGGTCACTATACAATACATCTTAAAACTATAGTCAAAAGGTACAACACAATAAACACTTTATCTTCCGCTATCCAAAAAGCCTCCTCCATCAGAACTGGAGCCGCTTCCAGTAGTTTCATTGTATGGCAAATTGTTGTATGCCAACGAGGTTCAGAGCGCGTCCATTGCAGCAATGGACACAAAACGTGGTCAGCACTCACACACTCATCACGATACGGTTGCTTTCCAAAGTCGACGACGCATCGACCGAAAGAACTGCTGATGAAGAACAATGAGGAGGACCACACAATGGTTGCTGTCGAGAAAACAGACGATCGCGTAGCACACATCGAGAGTGGCCTGCTTTTGTCGACAGCCGAGTGAACACTCATTTAGCTGTTGTTATTTAGCTTAATTTTCGCATAATCCATTCACTTAAAAATTTCCAAAATGTTCTTTCTGCCAAAGCACAATGTTCTGCAATTGCTCTCACTGTGACTTCACTTTATATGTATTTTAAAGCTTTAAAATTGGCTTAACGGAACTATAATTTGAGGAACTTTTAATAAATTAAACAAAAATCTGTATAAATATATATACATATTCAAGAAATTTTGAAAGTTCTAATAGATTGCAGTTGCTTGTTAAATTTAAAAGACAAGCGTTGTTGTTAAAATCTTGAAACAATATCTGATTATAAAATCATTTTCAATGATGCGTTTATTTTTCCAGGCTCATTTTATAAAATCATGTTATGATCAAAATGAGTTGAGAGCACGCAAAAAGCTGATATGCGATAATCAATAAGTTTTAAATGCGAAGAAGATGAAGAATACTAATAAATTCGAGCACTAGAAAACTTTAAAGGGGAATATACTGCCCCGAAAATATTTTTTTCTAATAAAAAATCCAAGAAAATCTTTTTTTTTTTCCTTAGATTCATGAGAAAATTTAAATGTAACAATCTTTTTTCTTTCTCATCATGAAAAAATCGGACCCTCAGTAAAGTCGATAGGTCGAGATGTTTTGTGGTTTTTTAGTCCAACTTTATGTCACAATGACTTGCAACAAATGTTTTTGCACGTGAACTTTCTTTACAAAATTAGATTTTTTTTTTGATATTTCAATATTTTTAGAAAAGTCAAAATGTATTTTTTTGATAGGCATAATTTCCCATGGAAGCATAATTGTCCCATATTGTTATGAAATTCCAAAGTACATGGGACAATTCTGCGTCCACTGCCAGTCTAATAGAAACCGAAATGTGTAATAACAGTAAATTTTGCATTTACTTGGCACCTTAATGAATATTAATATAACTTATGGGAAGTGACACTTCCCGGAATGATACATTTTCCTAATTTTTTTTCCCATATTGATCTTTTCACTGGCGTTCCATTTATTCTTTATTATTTATTTTAAAATGTTCAAAGAAGGAAGCATTGAATACTTTTGAAAGAAATATTCCCTTGTTTATTGAAATATTCAAAAAAGGAAATATTCTTTATCATAATATTGGACTTGGTATATTCTTATAAAGGGTTTTCCGGAAAATTATATTGTTTTGATTAGAAATCAGTTTATTACCTTTTCAAATTAATTATGAGTTTTTTTTTTCAAAAAATATTTGTTACTGTTCTCAGTACAATTTTTCAAAGTACAGGTATACCTCGATATAACGTTACTGTCACTTTTGGCTTAAATCGTCGATATCTCACAAATAACAACTCAGTCATATAAATTGGCATGACCAATAGATGGAGGATTGTCTTATATATAAATGGTGTTATTATTTTGTTTGATTTAATGATTGTTAGCGAGAAATCAACGATGGAAGCCTAAAGTGACAGTTACGTTATATTGAGATATACCTGTATTATACCAAACGATTATTATGCCAAACGGGGTAAAGTCCTTCGTATGCTACGCTGTGATAAAACTGGAAATATTACATGGGTATAGAAATGGCGTTAAACATCAAATTTCGATTCCGTTCAGCACCTACAGTAAATGTACCAGTTATACCAGTTACCAGACTATACGTTCATATTATGGTGTGTTCTAATTATTTTTTTTCCTTGGTTTCTTTTCCGTCGATCTTGTTTACCGTGCTGAGCACCAATGCTACCGACGCCAGGGAGGCAGCTACCACACCTGGATTCTACCTATCGACCCATCTACTCATGAACCGGGGACCAACGGCTTTACTTCCCTTCCGAAGGAAGGCGTGATCAGAGATGTTATGCCTCAGAATATCCCAGCGGCGCCGACTGGGATTGAACCCAGGCCTGCTGGGGTGAGAGGCAATCACGCTTACCGCTACACCATCGGCGCCGCTAGTGTTCCAATTATGGCATATGGGATTTCCATTGGCCATAATTGGAACACACCATAAAATGAACGTATAGCTATAACTGGTACACCTACCCTATTTCCTTATTTGTTTTCTTATGTTTGACTTCCGACTCACTATTTTAAATGTTTAACCGTTTTTTTCTTCTGAATTGTGATTTCTATTTTCTGGTTCTCTCTAGTTTCTTCTTTTTAAAAAGTGATTTTTAAATCTTATGACATTTCTTTCCAAGGAAAAGTCCCCCATTGACTGTACCGTCTTGTTAAAAAATAACCATCGAAGCATCCTAGTTCTCCTGCACCTACTTCCCATCCGACGCTTCAGTCAACCTGAGTAATGCGTTCCACTTGGCTCGTTCGTTCGTTCGTTCGTCGAAGCTTAAATTTTTCAAATATTCATTCAATGTAACCATTTTTTCTCCCCGGATGGTGGTGACTTCCCGCTTGGGAAGCAAAGCGATTCCGGAAAGTAAAGTTCTTGCTTCCGGGTCTTTCTCTATCGGGTAAAATGTCTGCAAGACTGGGGACAGACAGACTGGGAAGCCACACCGAGCGGAGAGATCTTATCAGCTTAACGGGAAACGGGAAACTGCACCCGAAGAAAGAGAAATGATTTCATACTTCATTTGATACGATCTCGCACATACTGTTCCTACTTTCTTGCGATAGTTAATTTAGCAATTTCCTGCGTTCACTCATTTTGCCTTCTTTCTTCATTCCGCAGCATCAGGATCTGAACGACGAATCGAGCGCCGGTGATGTGATTCAACCTCCGCAGGATTATCCGTCCGAGTACATCCATGCGGATCCGTCGTGCGACCAGGTCCCGGTGGAGGCATCCGACAACGTGGAGGAACCGCTGGAACCGGGCACGCAGCGGCAGTACTCGCTCAACGATTTCGAACTGATCAGGTATTGAACACATTGCATTTGAATCAATGAGCTCCGATTAATTTCCGTTATCGTAATCAGGGTAATTGGCCGCGGTAGCTACGCCAAGGTGCTGATGGTCGAGCTCAAGAAGACCCGGCGGATCTACGCGATGAAGGTCATCAAGAAGGCCCTGGTCACGGACGATGAGGACATCGACTGGGTTCAAACGGAAAAGCACGTCTTCGAGACGGCTTCCAACCATCCGTTCCTGGTCGGTTTGCATTCGTGCTTCCAGACGCCCTCGAGGTAAACTTCCTTTCCTATAATGCTGAAACCCGATTCGATCAATCATACCCCCCGTCCTATACAGACTCTTCTTCGTAATCGAGTTCGTCCGCGGTGGTGATCTGATGTTCCACATGCAACGCCAGCGACGTCTTCCGGAGGAGCATGCACGGTTCTACGCGGCCGAAATCAGTTTGGCGCTGAACTTCCTGCACGAGAAGGGCATCATCTACCGAGATTTGAAGCTGGACAACGTGTTGCTGGATCACGAAGGTCACATCAAGCTGACCGATTACGGTATGTGCAAAGAGGGCATCCGCCCGGGCGATACTACGTCGACCTTCTGCGGTACGCCGAACTACATCGCACCGGAGATTCTTCGCGGGGAAGATTACGGTAAGTCACCACCCGGGGAATCAAAATGTCATGAATTAATGAGTGAGGTTTCCGTCAGGTTTCTCCGTGGATTGGTGGGCTCTGGGAGTCCTGCTGTACGAAATGCTGGCCGGACGCAGTCCGTTCGACATTGCTGGTGCTTCCGAAAATCCTGATCAGGTGAGCTCTTCCCGAAAATCGGAACAACCTCAGCTTACTTATCCCAATTACAATTCCCCCGCTACAGAACACCGAAGACTATCTGTTCCAAGTGATCCTGGAGAAGACAATCCGTATCCCGCGTTCGCTGAGCGTCAAGGCTGCCTCGGTGCTGAAAGGTTTCCTCAACAAGAACCCGGCCGACCGTCTCGGATGTAACCGGGAGTCGGCCTTCATGGACATTGTCAATCATCCGTTCTTCAAGAGCATCGACTGGGAGGCGGTAAGTTGATGTTTGCCCGTGGTTGTTCACCGCCACGCGTAGTTTACCATCCCATCAGAAATTCCATCCGATTGGAAAACGAGAGCAATCGCAAAAGTTTTATTTTTCCGCGGAAAATTCGTTACCTACCGCTGGGTAATCAACTGCATCCATTTTACGGCTTTTTCGTTTTTCCAAAGGACACATATTGGTCGATTTTATTATTTAATGAGGCTTAAATGACCCCATTGTAGGTTATTCACCGAATTCCCGTCCCCGGTATCCTGGCCTCCTCGCATCCCAGGGGAGTTATTATTTCGCAACCACAGCGCATTCGATCTCACATTGTCACGTTATTTTTCTGTTCTTCTCAATCATCGTAATTTCAACTGTAATTTTTCCATGTATGATTTCGTTGTTGTTGCTGTGGTTGAAACCGAATGCGATTATTAATTCATTACCAATCTGTGGTTGTCGGACGTCGTGTGGGATGTAAATTTTCTGTTTTCTGTGTGAATGGCTGGAGTGGGTGTGAGGAAAAATGTCCGATACAATTGAATCAACCAAAAAGTCCACGTTGAAGTTATTAATTTTGAATTTAATTGAGCTAATTATGGTACATCAATGTTGCATCAATTAACGTTGATTGAAGCAATGTTTCAGTTTGGAAATGATTTCTGCAATTGCTAACACAATTAAAATTCGCCATCTGGCAAATTTCATAATCTATGATTTATTAGGATGCATCAATACAATAACCTACTCATACAAGTCTTTCATTTGATTTGATCTAAATTTTTGCTTAAATCTATCCTTAGATTCAAAAGTTTTATGTTCATACGCGAAGTTTGCGATTTTCAGAGTTGGTTGGAAATGCTATCTAACATGAAGCTTTAGTGTGATGATTTATTAGCTAGAGAATGATCTTTGAAGAGGGTAGGTAGGGTCTAACGGAACTCCTACCTACCCTCTTCTAAGATCATTCTCTAGTTAATAAATTATCACACTCAAGCTTCATGTTAGATAGCATTTCCAACCAACTCTATCATTAGATAATAATATCGAATCATATGATTTTTTCAGTTTTTTATCAAATAATTTAGATTTGCCTTTAGCTGGACTCTATCTTAATTTTTGAGCATCTGCAAAACATGTCTGGTACATCTATATATGCAACTAGATTAATATCTGAAGTTCCTCCTTTTTTACATATTCTGCCCAAAATATACTTTATGCCCCGCTCCATTCATAAAAATGGCGGGAAATCCTGTCAGGGGCGGAGCTTAGAAAGTATTTTTGTGCAGAATATGTGAAAAAGGAGGGACTTCGAATGTTAATCTAAATGCATACATACAAGTACCAGACATGTTTTGCACTGCACTGTCCTCTTTGAACAATTACGGAAAACATATTATGCATATTTTGCGATAGATGTCACCGCAAACAACAGCAGTGACATCTGATGGAAAATGAATCCATAAGCTTGACAAATGGTTAATCGTTTTAACCGAAAAATTCCTTAATCTGACCGAAAATCAAACGCTGCTGGCTCCAGCATGATCTTGCTTCATACCAGCGAGATTTGACAAGTAATCTTTTTTCGAATCTCTACAGATATTCAGGACCTTCAGGAAAAAAAACAAAGAGATTAGAGCTCTTGCCAGACTGAACAGGCCTTTTATCAATTTGACACTTATAAGAATAAAATGATTTCTGCAGCCTCTCATCGCAGAACAACCGGCTCCAAACATAAATCGCACTCAAGCGCATATGCGCTCCCTTGGTTTCCCCCGCATTAGGATCAGCCTGAATCAGTGTGAACCGGGTGACCTTCTCGGAAAGGACAATTTAATTTGGTACTTGCCAGATAGTTCTCGCCTTACTCGGTGATTTGCGATGATTTATGCATGCTGCCTGGCCAACCAAGGCGGCAGCGGTTGACTGAAATCCCAGAACCTAACCATAAACATTTAATTAAATTGGATAATCGCAGACAATTTTGGGACCCTCCTTCTCGTGCGCGATCGTAAATTAATCTAATTATGGTACCATTTTACTGCGATTTCTAAGCATCATTATCGCCACCGTCGAGAATTAATTGGCTGCGGTGTAGATTTTCTAACGTTGAGCCTAAACTAATCACTTCCTCCAGCCACAGTGCCTGCCTATGATCGTCTCAACTAGTGCGAAAGTGACGAAGAAGACGACGGCAACCGACAGGATCTGGAAATGATTATGTTCATCATTTACCATCATCGTTATCATTATCTTAATTTTCAACGCGGCTGGTGGGTGGAGGCAGTGGGAGGCGTGACGTGCACTGGAATGTGTCGTGAAAAATGTGAAAGTGTCGCTGTGTTTGAGCTTGAAACTTCTCTTCCCACCGAGTAATGAGCCCATGCATCTTCAGCAATCGGATATCATCCGGAAGAATCGCTTTCCGCCGTTGTTTATAATGAAGTGTTCTGTTGGCGCTTAGTTTAACACTTTGAGTGGACAAACGGGAATGGAAGTCATTTTCAGTAATCTTCCAATTTGTGTTTGGATCAGTCATCTCCGATGTGTGAACAAATCTCGCACACGAATGATAGTGTGCTAGACAAAGCCTCGGACAGTATCGCTAAATAAAACTGGCGACCAGTTAATGACAGCCGCCAGTCCCCTCACTGACAATATGTTACCGGTGGTTTGACGATAAATTTAAAAAAATGCTGTTCAATTAACAATGCGCGAGAAAAAAAATTATTTCAATTGATCAATTATCGACAGACGCAAGAGAACGAAGGGAGTGTTTACTGTCACACACACGGAAGAACTACGAAAATTGTATACCCCAACCCAAGCTTAATTTCGATGTCCACCTCCGATGGACCTCGGAGACAAGGGTGATTGAGTGGTTTCCGCGTTGATTTTCATTTACACTTCCCCCAATCAGTGGAACGTACGAATGCCTACCCCCCCTTCCGGGTACAAAGCCAGACAATCTGGATGGGACACACCACCGTTGGTATCAGTTTTAATTTATTGGTGATTATTTTCAATTGAATAATAATAATAACGCGAAAAAGGACATAAATTTTGACTGTCCAGAATATTTTGGTCGGGAAATACCCGATCAATGTGGCAGAGGTAATGAGGTAAATGTTTAAACTTTAGCCAGCGGAAATTCCAGCTACTTGCAACCCACCAATATTCAAGACCAGTGCTGTAAATTCTCGAAATCAATTGAACATGTTTGATTAAAATGAGAAAAGCATTCGCTATCAAAGGGATCTCCTTCGAATGGGTGATATCAGTTTGCTTAGTCATTTGACGAAGGCATGGATCATTCTCATTTGAGAAACGCTTGATATTCTACACACAAACGGAGCTCTGTTTGACATTTCGGTGAGAAAGCTAAGCCAATTCGACACCAACCGGACTTCTACCAGGCCTCAACCAGTGATGGGCAAAACACCGGTACAGCACCGGTACGAATTTCTAAATCATAACCAATGTGCTGATCTGTTGTACCGAGTGTTTGGTGCTGCCGTCGGTTCGGTTTGGTAGTTGCAACCAACACCGCACCGTGTTCACCATTTCGCTGCACACGGTGCGGTTCTGATTTTCCAGTACCGGTGTTCGTGTTCACAAGGATGATGTTTTGAATTCAAGAACCGATCCGGTACTGTTGTGTGTTAATGTGCGTGGTGCGCATTATTCAGAATTGCCAGTGATGGCAGATAACTAAACAGAATTTGTATTTGATGAATAAAAATATGCAGTGTCAAGTCGAAATAGCGGTTTTTGAATACAGAAAACTGTGAATTCAAATGATATATTACGCAATGTGGGTATTTCCAGAATCGGGGTGACGTGGAGACCGGAAATCGTAGACCAACGCCATCTTGAAATGCAATATGGCGGCTTCCGGTTAAAAAAAAATGAAACACTGTCAAATACCTTTCAATATGGGTATTTCCGGAATCAGGGTGACGTCCTGAGACCGGAAATCAATGTTTGACGCCATCTTGAAACCCAAGATGGCGGCTTCCGGTTGCAGGAAAACTGGGAAATACTAGCAAATACCCTTTAATATGGGTATTCGGGATGACGTATAAAGACCGGATATCAATGTTAGACGCCATATTGAAATCCAATATGGCGGCTTCCGGTTGCAAAAAAACTGGGAAATACTGTCAAATGCCCTTCAATATGGTTTTTTTCGGAATCGGAATGAGGTATAGAGACTGGAAATGTATTTACGAAGCAATCCTGAAATCCAAGATGGCTGCTTCTGGTTGCAGAAAAAACTGGGAAATAATGTCAAATACCCTTCAGTATGGATATGTTTAGAATCGAACCGACGTAGAGACCGGAAATATAGAAAGTTGTATTTTTGGAATCGAAACGACGTACACACTTAGATTATTTCACCGAAATCTGTGAAATTTTACCGAAATCTCAACAGCTGAACGTTCGGTTAACAGTTCGGTGATTTTTTCGCATATTTCCTGTATTTTTTCACCGAATATCTGTGAAAAATTACAGGAAATCTGCGAAAAATCACCGAACTGTTTACCGAACGTTCAGACGTTGAAATTTCGGTAAGATTTCACAGATTTCGGTAAAATAATCTAAGTGTGTAGCGACCAAAAATATAAGGAAATACTGTCCAACACCCTTTGACATGGGTATTTTCGGAATTGGAGTGTCATATTGACTTAAAGTTCTCTACTTGTGGATATATTGTTAATTCAAGCTGAACATTACATTAGGTCCTAAGTTACATTGAAAGATTCTTTTCGTCGACTTTCTCTTTGTATCTCCACGGCCATATAAAGACATTCTCAGCTATTTTCAGCACACAGATCGATAAAAGAATCTTTTATCTAGCATCTAAAACGAAAAACATAACAAGAAACGATTATGTGCTCAAATTATTAACGAAAGAGAAAGTCGACGAAGAGAATCGATGAATTTTACTTAGGATCTAATACAATGTTCAGCTTGAACTGTCTTTATTAGTGATCAAAGATTAGTGGTCAAATATCCGTTGTCGTCGATCTTATCTCATTACTCTAGTTGAAAAGATTATCATTCAATTTTACAAAAACACACATTAGCCAGGTTTACGTCGGTTAGTCTCAATCCCTGTTTGCTAGTATTTCCCAGTTTTTCTTCAACCGGAAGCCGCCATCTTGGATTTCATAATGGCGTCTGACATTGATTTCCGGTCCCGATTCCAAAAATACTCATATTGAAGGGTATTTGACAGTATATCCCAGTTTTTCTATGACCGGAAGCCGCCATATTGGACTTTAATGGCGTCAGACATTGATTTCCGGTCTTTATAAGTCATACCGATTCCAAAAATACTCATTTTGAAGGGTATTTGACAGCATAACCCAGTTTTTCTATAACCGGAAGCCGCCATCTTGGATTTCAAAACGGCATCAGACATTGATTTCCAGTCTCTAGACATCACCCTGATTCCAAAAATACCCATATTAAAGGGTATTTTACAGTATATCCCAGTTTTTCTACAACCGGAAGCTGCCATCTTGGATTTCAAAATGGCGTCAGACATTGATTTCCAGTCTCTAGACATCACTCCGATTCCGAAAATACCCATATTGGATGGCATTTGCCAGTATTTCCCGGTTTACTACAACCTGAAGCCGCCGAATTTCAAGATGGTGTCTAACATTGATTTCCGGTTTACATACGTCATCTCGATTCCCAAAATACCCGTATTGAAGGAAATTTGACATTATTTCCCAGTTTTTCTATAACCGGATGCCGCCATATTGGATTTCAAGATAGCGTCAGGCATTGATATCCGTATATAACGTCATCCCAATTCCGAAAATACCCATATTTTTGCTAGTTTTTTTGCTAGTATTTCTCAGTTTTCCTTTAACCGGAAGCCGCTATCTTGGATATCAGAATGGCCTCTTACATTGATTTCCGGTCTCTAGACATCACCCTGATTCCGAAAATACCCATACTGAAGGGTATTTGAGAGCATTTCCCAGTTTTTCTGCAACCGGAAACTGCCATCTTGGATTTCAAGATGACATCGGTCATCTATTTCCGGAGTCTATACGACATCCCGATTCCAAAAATACCCGTATTGAAGGGTATTTGACAGTAATTCCCAGTTTTTCTGCAACCGGAAGCCGCCATCTTGGATTTCAATATGGCGTCTGACATTGATAACCGGTCTATAAACGTCATCCCGATTCCAAAAATACCCATATTGAAGGGTATTTGACAGTATTTCTCAGTTTATCTGCAACCGGAAGCCGCCATATTGGATTTCAAGAAGGTATCGGTATCGGAGCACTGTTATTTAATTCTTGCCAATGTTCTGAACCAAGAACGGTATACCCGGTTTTGGTTACATATAATTGAACCATGCACACGGTTCAGATCTCGTGAACCAAAACCAAAATTCTAGCACACCGGTTTTCGGTTTTCAAGCTGCGGTTCTGAACATCAACTCGAAAACCGGTAGTCGGTTTTGATTTAGAACACACTGGTACACGAAAACTCAACCGAACCAGAGTATGTAAACACGCTTACATAAACACAGGAGTATTTTTTTGAACACGAACCAGCACACGGTGCGCACCGGTTGGTTCAGTTGCCCATCACTGGCCTCAACCCGACATAAATTCAAAATTGACTCAACATCAACCCAATACTGGGTCGCCATCGATTCTTAAAAGGCCTTACATGTCTATTTTTCAATACTCCACTGCCATATATCACTTGATAGTGAGTGACTCAATTGACAGTGACCATGAGATTCGATTGAGAAAGTGGCTCTTCAAATGATGGGCGTGAGAGAATTCGTTTTCGCAAATTTGATTGAATGGTTGTATTGCTTCATCTTCAATCGAATGATATGAAAATTAACAGCACTGTTCAAAACATATATTGTAAGGCTAAAATAGCCTTAAAAAGGGAACCAGCTCCTTTTTAAATGCATAACGGCCTGAACAGTTTTCTACTGCCTACATTAGAGTGATGAAAAATTTGAAATTCGAAAACGATTCCAAATCGGATCCTGACTAACCTCTCAAAATTTGAACCCATTTGGTGAGAAACTGAAATGGCGCACAAACCATTTGAAGTTGGTATGGGAATTACTATGGTTAAACCAAGATTTTTGTTCATGTCCATCTAATAATTCACCATATCGGTCTGCTTCAAAAACTTTCAACTGCTCTTGTAGGAAATTTTCCCAGCTACAACTTTGCTGAAGACCACTTTTTGATTAAATGCAAGAATCGATAGTTATCAATGGTTCAATGCGCTGATGTCATATGATCATGCTCGATCAACTGCTCTGCAGGCAACATTGGTGTTTCTGGGGCGTTGAATAGGACACAAAAATCATGGCTACTATGTCACACTGCAAAATACAGTGTTGCCTACAGAGCAGCTGCTTGATCATGTCATAAGTTTACCAATCTCTTAAATAATTAATAACTTTTTCCTGTCTCGTTTTACATAAAAACGATCTTCAGCAAAGTTGTAGCTGAGAAAAATTTCTATATGAATGGTTATCGAACTGTTTCGCAGCTCAATATGGAAAAAGACTAGAAGGCAATGAACAAAAAGTTGAGATTTCCCATAGTAATTTACATGTAAACTTCAAATGGCTTGTACAAAGTCTGTTTCTAACCAAATGAGTTGTAACTTTGGGAAGCTAATCAGGACCCGATTTGAAACCATTTAAGCACTGTGGAGCGAAAAAGTCAAATTTTGCATCAGTCTAGCCTACATCTTGAAATATTTTCTCAATCAACGTCTCAAAATCTAATGAAGTTGTGTTAATTCTGGTTCTTGAATTTCTGTGTACGGAATCTTGAAAATTGTTCACTGTTTGAAAGTAATAAATTATTTCTTTAAATCTTACCTCATTTGCAAATGTCTCAAGGATTTCCTTAGGAGTGCTCCGAAATGTCTTCAAAGTTACTTTTAATTTCACGATTCCCCTTACAGGGCTGGTATACCGAGCAAAGTCTAGCATCAACATGACAGCAAGTTGAAATCAAGTTTTGATATCAACATCAAACTGAAATCCTAATTTGATTTCAGTTTATGCAATTGATAAATTCGTTTTCATTTTGCTGTACATTTGCTCTTTAAAAATAAGTTGTTGCGGGTTTGTTTTCATTGCCTTAGCAAAACATCAAATTGATTACTTGTTTTCTTATCAACAGGAAAAATTTATATCAAATTGAGTTTTCAGTTTGCTCTCACTGATAGCAGAAATAGTTTTCAATGTGATGTCACAGGAAGATTTTTTTGCTCTCAATTTTGATATTTTAACCGTTAAAACGACCAAAACGACAGCAACCTGAGCAATCATTATCAGCGAAATCACAACATCAAATTTAGATTTCAATTTGATCTCAGACTTTGCTCGGGTAGCTAGTCACTTTTTAGTGACTTGGTCACTTTTTTCAAGCCAGTCACTAAAAAGTTGCTTTGATCTAAGGCAAAGTCACTAAAGTCACTTTTTCTTGTAATAAGTCACTATTTTAAACTTTTTTAAACGTAAATTTATTTAAAGATTGATCACTCTTCTGAATAGGCCTACATTTTGTTCTATTTTTTTTAACAATTCGAAGTTGACGACCTTGTTTTTTAACGTTTAATCGTTCTTCTCTATCTACAGGGTGTCCACTCATTTGGCTAAATAAAGTTCGCTGAGTTTTCCAGGTTTTTCCAAAACTTAAGCGGATAATTTCCAGGTTTATAATAAGAATGTTATTTATGAAATGCTTTAAAAAATATTTTTAACGCAAACATTTTTGAGACATGACAATCAGTTTTAAAGAAACAGCTTTACTATCAAATCCGTTAAATGTTGAAGTTGAACAATTACTTCATTTTAGTAAGTCTAAGATCACAACTTTTTTAATGTATTGACGTTTCGTACTAACAGAAATGTGGAAACTTTAATGATGTTCTATTGATCTCAGAAAAGTTAGATCTAGAAATCTTTGGGGAATTCCAGAGATCTTAAGGGGAAGTCTCCTATAAGCGTGAGGTTAGATAAATTCAGGATAGTTCCATGATGAGCTGAAATAAAACCAAGAACCCATAAGATGTTCCGAAAGATTCACTACGAAAAAAGGCGAGAACGGTTAGCAAGCACCGTCATTTTCAAGAAATTCCAGAGAACTTCTAAGAAATTTAAATATTTTTAGATTGTTTCATTATATTCAGTGATGTTCCAAGTACTTCGAGGACGATCAGAAACAGGGCTGGTAGCGAGTCACTTTATAGTGACTTAGTCACTTTTTTCAAACCAGTCACTAAAAAGTCCCTTTTTTTCCAGGTCAAGTCATTAAAGTCACTTTTCCTTGTAATAAGCCACTATTTCAAACTTTTTTAAACGTGAATTTATTTCAAGATTGATCATTCTTCTGGATAGGGCCAACATTTTGTTCTATTTTTGAACAATTCGAAGTTGACGACCTGGTATAGAGTTTTTTTTTGCGTTTAATCGTTCTTCTCTATCTACAGGGTGCACAGCAAAAAAATAATTTTGATATCACATCAAAGTTGATGCACTTCAATCGTGTCAAAAATATGGTGTAATATTACTTGCCAAAAAGGACAAAATTATCATTAATACAGTGCATGAACTAACATTACGCTGCTTTTACTGCATTTGTTTATTTTTGTGGCCATAAAAATTACATGAGATTTTCGACATGATCGAAGTGCTTCCTCTTGGATGTAATATTAAAATTAATTTTTTGCTGTGTATCCACAATAAAGTTCCCTGAGTTTTTCAGGTTTTTCCATTACTTTGGCAGATAATTTCCAGGTTTATAATAAGAGTGTTATTTATTATGAAATGCGTTAAATATATATTTTTAACGCAAACGTTTTTAAGACAATCAGTTTTAAACAAACGTGTCGTACTAACAAAAATGTGGAAACTTTAATGAAATTCTATCGATCTCACACGAACCAGCCAACGCCACTATGGGCAAAAATGGGTCCAAAATTACCCAAAATTCAATATCTCAACAGCACGCTGAATTCCGGCCATGAAAAACGACTTTTCCGAAGAGAAATCGTCCGGGGAATCAATTGCACGTAGTCCCATAGACTGGAGAGCCTATTAGGTATGTGTTTTGGGCCATTTTACCCCATTTTCCCCTACTTTTTGGAGGAAATGTTTTTTCACAGCTCTATTTTTCGTAAAACATAAGCACTTTATGCATGGTTTTTGAATACTATGTCTTTAAACAACAGTTCATGAGATATTAGGGGAATATGGGGTACACTTTATAGGGGAGTAAGGGGTAAAAGTGAAAATACAATCAATGTTTTTTAATACAAAATCCATTTTTTTTAATATCATAATATTTTTTCTGAAAAAATCTTTTAATTAACTTTCATTTGGTATTTTGAGTTCCGTCATCGGCCAAACAGTTCAAAAGTTATAAATTTTTGAAAAAAATCGAGAAAAAAAATTTTTTTTTTGACCGCCCTAATATATAAATAGTCACCCTAATGACAAAATAAAAAATATGGGTCTAATATGTTGCGATTAGGAACAAATTTTACAAAATTCTGAGAACGACTATATGTTTTGCTGTATACAGAAAAAAAGTGAAAACTCTTTTAAAACAGATAGCAGTAAAATAAAACTTATTTAACCTCAAATTACCTTTAAATTTCGAAAAAAATCTTATTATTGCAGGCAACTTTTGGGTTCATTCAAACAATCGCATCGTTCAACATTTTTATGAATTAAAATAAATTTAGCGAGGGTTCACTTTTACCCCTTACTCCCCTATAAAGTGTGCCCCATATTCCCCTAATATCTCATGAACTGTTGTTTAAAGACATAGTATTCTAAAACCATGCATAAAGTGCTTATGTTTTACGAAAAATAGAGCTGTGAAAAAACATTTCCTCCAAAAAGTAGGGGGAAATGGGGTAAAATGGTCCAAAACACATACCTACAAGGCTCTGGGACTACGTACAATCGATTCCCCAAACGATTTCCCTTCGGAAAAGTTGTTTTTCATAGCCGGAATTCAGCGTGCTGTTGAGATATTAAATTTTGGGTAATTTTGGACCCATTTTTGCCAATAGTGCAACGGCTGAAAGTCTCTATAACAAAGAAATCAAATCAATCAATCTATTAATTTCAGAAAAGCTAGATCTAGAGATCTTTTGGGGAGATCCAATGGGGAAGTCCCCGAAACTTTAGCCCGGAATATTGAATTGGTTTAAAAATCTATAAGCGTGAGTTTAGATAAATTCAGGATAGTTCCGAAAGATTCAGTACAGAGACCTTCAGAAAATTTATGAAAACTTCAGAAATATTTCAGGAACTTCACAGAAATCCAGAGAATTCCAGGGAAGTTCAAAGGTGTTTACGAAAATTCCATTTATTTTAAAGCAGAACCGAGATCTTCATTAGAGTTGAGAGTTTTAGGGAAGCTCCGAGAACATCAATACAGATCAGATAATTAAAGGGCAGTTCAAAACATTTCAAGGAAATTGCAGAAACCGGAATTTCCGAAAACTTCGGTTCGCTCAGAGAAAATTTCTGGAACGCAATAAACTTTAAAATGAACATCCGGAAAATGTGAGAGTATTTCAAGGGTGTTATATCATGGAAATTTCAAGATCTAAAGAAATTACGAAAATTTTGCTAAGTTGATTAGATAACATCAACGAGTTTCCATTAATAAAAAAAAAGGCGAGAACTTTTAGAAAGCACCGATATTTTCAAGGAATCCCAGAGAACTTCAAATAAATCTAGATATTTTTAGATTGTTTTATTATATTCAGTGAAATTCCGAGTAGTTCATGGACGATCAGATAACATCAGAAAAAGGAAGTTTGCAGCGACTTACAAGGAGTTTCTTAGAATTATGGGATATTCCGAGAATTCTATGATTGATCCAAAAACTTTAGAAGCTTCTGGGAATTATAAATATATATCAGATAACTAACTGGAACATTTGATCAATTTAGAGAAATTGAAAACTTCTCGCAGGGAAATGTAGTGATTCAAGGGAAAGTTCCGTGAGCGTTTATAAACTTTATAAAACTTGTAGAACTTAAAGGCAATTAAATCAATTCTACTAATTGAGAAATATTTTGGGCATTTTTAAAAACATCAGGAAACTCGATAATTTGAACTTCAGTCATATCTTGAGAATTTCAGTGTATTTTGCTGCGGAAACCTAAAGACGTTCCTGAAATTTTAGAATAACTTCGAAAACTTCACAGAAGTACAGAGAAGAAACATTCCGAGAACTTCATAAAAGTCTATGGAACTTAAGGGAAGATTCGAGAACTTCAGGAACTTTTATGGACATTTCGGGAGCATCTCAAATAAGTTTTGTAAAGCTCCAAAAAACATAGCGAATTTCAGGGGAGTTCAGTACCATTAGTTTCACTAAATTAGCGGGAAATTTCAAGAATTTCTCAGATTTTCAGAGAACTTTAGATATGCTAAGAAAATTATTAAGGTTTTCACATAAGTCCAGAATTTCACGCAAGTTTAAATATTTTAAGAACAGTTCAATTAAATTCATGGTAAGTACAAAAAGCTTCATGAGAACTGCAAACACTTTATAGAAGTTTCGAGAACTTCGAGGAAGATATTGATCTCGCTAATAAAGCTCTAATCAACAACAAAACTTCAAGAAAGAACAGATATCCTCAGAGCAGAGATATTCCAGAGCATGGAAATTACGTAAATAAAAAAAAAACTGATTGTTCCTGTTACGGTGTGTTCCAATTATGGCCTTTGGAATTCCCATAGGCCATAATTGAAACACACCATAATAAGAACGTATAGCCATAACTGGTACATCTACCCTAGCTTCAAGTTTTGGTGAAATTACCCATTCACTTTTAACGAGAAAATACTAGCCTCACTACCGGATCAATGAATGAGTGTATGCGTGTTTGTGCGTGAAGTTGATTATCGAGTATGTTTTCAATTTACCCCTTTTCTATTGTTTCACTAATTTATCATTTCGCCGCCGTAAATTTATCTGACCCTACTGGTGCCGTCCTCAGAATACCGCAATCATAATTAGTTTTTTGTTCACACCGAATCCGATAATCCAGTAGCAAATAAACGATAATTACTATTATCACCCACTCACCTCATCACCAGTTGATCCACAGTAGAGTTGAGTTGTTCGTGCCATCTTTCACCCTAGAGCAGAGGAGAACCCCCCGTGCAAACATAGGGACCCACTGTTGATAACTAATTAAAAACCTGTAAATATGTTGATTCGTTTCCCTTTCTTCTCTCTCTCTCTTTCTCTCCGTTTGATTTTTCTCGTTTTTTCCTGCTATCCGAAACAAAAATAATCGAAAATCCAATTAAACACAATCACGCGCGCACTCACACCTACCCCACACACCGGCACATCAACTCTATGCCACCCGCTATAACCAATCGTCATTGCGCCTCTCTCGTGTGCGCCTCCACGCGTGCTGATCCTCACTTCTCATCAAATGCCTAAATCTGTTGTAACTCGCTAATTAGCTCGCTCAAAAAGAGGTCACCCCGCCCTACATTCCGTCGTTCGATGGGTGCGACCAGGACATTACCTGTCACTTTGATCCGCAGTTCACGCGGGAACCGGCCGATCTGACACCGGACGATCCGTAAGTGTTTTGCAAATCTTCCCAAGATTTTTGTTTTTCGATATTATTCAACGGGATCCCCTTTTGAACGCGAATTGCTTAACTTGTGAGATAGCTCATTTCGCAACAACAAAAAACGCATTTCGGTGAGATGGTCACTGGAAAAGCCATCTCGTGGAAAAGTTTGTTTCATGCAAAATTTCGGTGAAATGACCTTTCTGATGAAAAAAAAATCATGCAGCTTTAAATCAATGTAACCATCCTTGCGAAACGATGCCCAGTGTCAATAAATCTCTTTTCGAGCAGTGAACACCCGAGCTAGGTGTAATTCGACACCGCTCGCGACACCCCGGCTTTGTTCGTATCCGTACGTACCTCTGCTGTGTACTGTGTTGTTTCGTAGTCTAACTTTAGGCGCACCATCATCGCAAAGCCCATGGCTGTCCGTATTGAGCAGGTACGGAAAACTATTCCCGAAGAGAATCGGATCACTTCCGGAAAGTACCGTGACTGTGTAGACAAGTAGGTAGTAAGTAGTTTGCTGAACATCCTCTCGTTTGCTTGCTGCGAACCCGAATAGAAATTCTTGCTTGAATTGCAAATCAGGACGATAAGGTTTGCAGTTGTATTTAGTTACATCGAAGACAACGTATCAAGAAGAGCATACTAAATTTAGCCATCTACTGCTGCGGTTCTACTTTTGCTCAAGCGCAGCGCTACTGCATTGTCTTCGCTCAAAATCGGTAAATTTGATAATTTTGGTTCCTAGCAGCAGTTTCTATTCGGGTACCCGCCTTTTGCCGTTTTCAATTTTGCATGCTGTTTTGCACTTCGCTTATTTAATACTTAATTCGACATAAATATGTGTGTAGATACGTTGGAATAGTTGTACAACTACTGCTGAATATTTATAGCACGCCTAGCGTCTTTGAATCTTTCCACCGAGAACTGAGAAAGAAACCACCCACACAGGAGGAAGCACGTTCAGCAGCAGTGCAATCGAAAAGGTGAGAGAAAGTTCCCCGTTTGCCCGAATGTTCGAATCTCGATTCCCGTGCACCGAGGGGAAATGGCGGGCAATGGAAGGGAAAGTTCGGATATTTATTTAATTTTTAATGTTTGTTTGTAAAAGTTTCTCCGCTCTCGCATTTCTTTGCCAAACAATTCCTGTTCGGTTCAGCCTATTAGTACGAAGGAAACCGACAACGACGACGACATTGGGATGAACGAAAAATTTCCGCACTCCAGACTTTTTCGACGTTTTTGTTTTTATGAAGTTTTCCATCGATCCTAGCAAGGAGAAATCGATTTGAGGTAAACAGGGATAAGGGTTGATACGGGATTCACGGATCTGTCAGCGAATTATGAGTGGTTGAGTGGAACTTTTTATTTTAGAAAAAAAACTTAACGGATGGGGAAACTTTCGATTAGATTTTTCCCGATAGGTTCGGAGGATTTAATGGTTGTTGGGATTTTTTTCGATGACCGATCGCTATCTAATTTTTGAATATTTTGTTCGGTTGAATAACAATGAGCATTACATAGTATATCATGTGGGGTTCGATTGTGAAATCTGCATCAATTGATGGATTATTCGTACTAGTATTTCTATTCGAGATTTCAATTCTGAAATTCAATACAGTAGTGTTTCGATTAAGGCAACACGTTTTCAATTCTTTAAATTACTGATTCTCTGCACCTAAAAATCTCAAACTTTATTTAATAACTTTCATAGACCTAACGGTTTATTTTCTTATCTGTAGAGTTTTTTTACAACTTCGTCCATTACTTAGGAATATTATTGTCTGACCCATTTTATTTTGGTGCTAGTCATTTATCCTCTCACAATTAAGGTGTTTTTTTTTTATACAGGGTGGAATCTGCCCTCAGACACCTGAGAAGATAACTCAGGGTGTGGGGATGAGAGAAGTAGCACTCCCGACCAACTAAACCTTACCCTGTGCTCTAGGCCATTGCCCTCCCCGGAACCGCCCGAAAGCATTACGTCATGGGAGGGGGCCGGTTGCGCTATGGCGCATCACTAAGTGTTGTGTCAGACGTGACACTCGCTACTGCACAGTGAGCAGCTGTGCAGGGCCTTCCTCTTGTTGTTCGCTGTTAGTTGTTCGCCTGAGTTCTAGAGCAGACGTGATAGCCAGCCAACTGTCCAGGGCCCATACAGGACAGATGTGACCGCTTACCAGCTGCGTGTGCAAAGCACTCTAAGAACCCGGTGTCACTCCTGCCTTTGCACAACGAGGGTTTGTGCAGGGCTTCTCAACCTCCTGGGAAGAGCTGGATGGGGTTCCAGCGTCCTTACTCTGCGGTAGTTCGTTTAGCCGCAATATCTCTCCCTTGGGTTCGATAATTAACGTTTCCAGGGCACACCACGAGGAGGTGAACTACTTCATGTTCCACAATTAAGGTGTGATAGATATTTGTTGACATTGCACGTTGTCCCAATCAGGCACAACTCGTCTTATAAAGTCTAGTACCATTTTGGGATTGCTTTGCCAAACTTCAAAGGGTTCTAATATCCCTTTTCCAAATATCGACATTCATTGATTGAACAGTGCTCCACAGCTGCAGAGTATATGTTCAGCAGTTTCGTTTTCAAATTGACAAAACCGACATTCGCTAGACGGAATTTTTCCTATTTTATATAAGTGATATCTGCTAGGGCAGTGACCAGTCATCAGACCAGTTATTACCCGAAGATCTCTTTTACTAAGATTAGGCAAAATCCGGGCTTTTGCTGTACTTTGTCTTATAAATCTTTTCGCCTGTCTGGATACATCTGTGGCGTTCCAGTTGGATTCTACTATGGACGTTTCCCAACTTTTTAATTCCATCCTTATAGTACACTCAGGGACTTCACAAAATGGTTCCGGACCGATGCAGTTCGATGCAGAAGCTCGTCTTGCTAGACTGTCGGCATTGTCATTTCCTTCAATGCCACAATTTCCGGGCACCCAGTATAATATGACTTCGTTCCTTTCGGCCAAATGTTTTAAAGAAAAGAATACATTCCCACACTGGCTTCGATCGACATGTGAACGACTTAACGATTTAATGAAGCTTTGGAATCGATTAGAAAATCAGTTTTGCATGTGGAAAGCTGAGAAGTCAAACTGTATGTATTGCCAAAATCGGAACTATAATGTACTTTCAACTTTGAAATTGATTTCAATTTCTATAATGAAATTCAATTTTGAAATTCAGTTCTTAAAATCAGTTTTGAAATTCGGTATTTGTAATTCTGTTGTGAAATGCAGTAATTTGAAATTAAGTTCTGCAATTTCGACCTCAAAATCAGTTCAGTAATTGTAATTCAGTTGTGAAATTCAGTAATATCAACGTTGTAATTCATTTGTGAAATTCAGCTCTTAAGTTCAGTTCTAAATTCAGTAGTGGAAATTCAATTTTGAAATGTCTGAAATTCAGATCTAGTGATGAAATTTAGTTCCGAAAATCAATTCTTAGCAACTCCGAGTCAAATAACGAATAGGAAAATCTCGACCTTCTCCGATTTGCATGAAATTTTTCAATATAGGTTGTTATTGTTTATTGTTTATTGAAAAATTCAACTGACATTTATTGTTTAAATGAATAAAACCTAAACCAAATAGTTACGGTCAACGGTACGGAAAAGGCCAAGTAGCCGATGACGAAACACTTCAACTGATACATTGAAGTCGAACATATAAAAAAGTTGTTGAATTGCCGGCTGATTGCTCGAATTGGCTCGTGCTGTGTATAATTCCGGCTCCGTGGTTCCAAAAACAGAAAGTCGCGTTGACAAAGAGACCTCTCAGGGGCAAACATATTTAGCTGTGACAGCAGTGTTGGACAGTCAATGTCATCCGTGAGCAGCTTTTCAACGAACATAGCTTGAGCGACCGTCCGTCTCACCTCTAATGGCTCGATTCCCAGGCAGGCTTCCAGTGCGCGCGCTACCGTATGCGAGACGCAATACGAATAGTCTCATAGTCATAGCAGTCTCATGCGCAAGAGATTTGTACCACTCTGTTTCTCTCTCTTCAGTTTTGTCGCATCTCACATTCTCATAATGTCAGTGTGTCGCACTGTTTTGTAAGCACAGCACATTTCCGGATGTATGCGTTTCATGAGAACGAGTATCATGCGACGTCGCGTGAGCCGAAGCTCATGCGCTTTTCGCAATGATACGTCGCTAAGCGACGTCTCAATGCGACATCGAAATAACAAACTCAACTGGAAGACCAACTCGTGTTCTTAATGTGGGAAAAGTGTTGTTTTGTTTTGAAAACGATGGAAAGCGACCTAGCTACTACACTCTTACCGAACATGGAGAAGAGGTGTCAGATGGCTATGACCAACAAAGTTTTCCTAGTGACAGCCCATTCATAACGAACGAAGGAAGAGATGTGGCTTTGGTAAGCGAAATCTTCTATCAAGTTGTGGTTTATTTGCTCGTTGATATGCTTTTTTTTAATGTCACCGAGGGTCCACGGTACTAACACTAGGACTTTTTGGAAATCTGTTGTCGCAAATTGATTGTTGCAATTCAGCATCATGGTGGCTGGTATGAACTATCCTGTGAGCACTAACACATCTGAAGAATTCAGTTGCTGCCGTAGTAAGTTTGTTGATTGACAGGTATTCAATACAATTCCTGAAGCAAGAAGCTTAGCAACAATCCGTAATACAGATATGACACAACTTTTTCCTAAATTTATTACATTAACCTTTATCCAGCATTTTGTACCTACGTACACTGTGGTGCAAAGTTGATCGGACAAAGGTCGTTTTCATACAAACTAGCCAAGTTTAACATGTTGTAAATGTGTTTTGTTATGATCAATTGAGCTGAAATTTTGACGCAAAACTACAGATATGTTGAATTTTACGTGTAAGAAATACCAAATTTTTTGAAGCACCTGCTGGAAGGTGACAATAAAAATAAAATTTGTGCATAGCTGATCGGACAAACGTCAATGGAAAAGCAAGTTTTGAGTTAAAATTTCAGCTCGATGGATCAT